GGCCACACTGCCTGGCGGGCAGTGCGACTCAGGCCAGGACTGGCAGGAACAGGTGGCCAGCCACTACCCGCCTCCCCACCCGCCCCCATCCTCCTGCTCCAGGGTGCCCACTCCGCCCTGCCTCGGGGCCTGTGCCCACCCTCCGCCTGCCTCACACCGACCCAGCGCTCGCTCACAGGCCTTCTCAGGAGAAATGTCACTTGCCTGTGACTCCCAGCTGGCCCAGGCCTCTGTGTTCCGCCCTGTCTGCCCCCCTCCTTGCTGACACCAGCTTGGTGACCTGAACTCCCAGGCTCTTACCTGCCATCGCCAAGCGCAGGGAGGGTTTCTGTTATTCACCTCTGCCTTCTGGCTTCCTGGTATGTTGCCCGGCACATAGGAGGGGCTCCGTTAATGACGCTTCCTTCCGTTGGGTAGACAGGCAAGGAAAGGTCCTGGGGCTGCCCTAACCCTGCCCCAAGCCCTGCCTCAGGACCTGACTGTGACCCTCACCCTGCCAATGTGTTATTCCAGGGATGCAGGGAAGGTGAGGAAGTTCAGAGAGGCTCAGTAAGCTGTTGGAGGTCACATATCTAGTTGGAAACAAGAGCAGGCCTCGAACACAGGCCTCAGGGGGTGAGCCCAGCCTCATGCTGCATCCTCCTCCGGGGGGCTGGCAGGATCTCTGCCCCACTGTGCAGACTGCACAGCCACAGCCCGAGGCTTCGCTCCTCCACACACATTTATTAAGCACCAACTATAAATCCTTCACGGGGCTAGGCGGTGGTGCCCGGCTCCTGCCCTTGTGGGGTTTCCAGATGCGGGGCAGCCACAGTCGGGTAGATAGACGTTGAAACGGCTGCTCCTCCCGAAGCGCGCTGTGGAGAGGACAGAGGCAGAGGCGGGGCGCGTGGACGGGAGCAGTGCCACCTCTGTGCACTGAGGCCCCAGGACTGGGAACGGTTCCCTTTGGGAAGAGCTGGGGAAAGCCGTTGGGGCGCAGGGCAGAGCCGGGTCCTGGGCAGAGCCGGGCCAGAGGCAGGGAGCAGGGGTGGCCCAGGACAGCACTGCTGGGCCTCCTGCCGGGGCTGGGCCTCTACCGTCCCTGGCTCCCGGGCTGCTGCGCTGGCACCTTCCGAGCCCCTGAGCCAGAGTGGGAAGGGTCCCGAGGCCTTTGGAGCATCTCCTTAGAAAGGACAGAAGGAGTCGGAAAGGAGAGGAGGAGGAGCAGGCTGACAGACGGAGTCCGGCCTGGCTGGGTGCACAGAGCAGGCGCAGCTGTGTCGGGGAGGGACTGTCACTTCTGGGGGCTGCAGCACAGAAGGGACCTGTGCCTTGGGCCTTTGTCACCCCAGCGCCCTGCTCCCTGCTCCCCAGCTGGCAGGGGTCCTAAAGAGCCTGTGGCCGCAGGTCATGACCTCTGTGGCCTTCAGCCATGGCCATGCCCCCTTCTCAGGCCGCTGCCCCTAGCCCAGCCTCTCCCCGGCTCAGGGCGGAGCCTCTGCTTCGGCCAGCGGCTCGAGTTTCCTAACAGATTCGGTTGTTTTACGGTGGATTCATAACCTCTCCTCCCCTCACCCCATCTTTCTTCCCTTTTCAATCCTGCGCAGCCTCATGTGAGGAGAGGAGAGGCTCTCACGGCCTCCCTCCCCCCCAGTGTCCTGGCCACAGGCCTCTCGTCCCCAGGAATTTTCTAGAACCATTCCCAAAACCCACTTTAAGTGACGAACCCTCGGCCAAGGACGGGGTCTTCCTGGCCAGGCCACACTCCTGGACGCGGGGGCCATTTCCTATCCCTGCTGCCCATAGGGCCGGGCCCTGGGCCTCTTGAACTTCCTCAGGGTGAAGCGCGAGGACTCCCTGGACCCAGGGTGTGTCTTCCTGTGACTTTGTGGCTTTCCAAAAGATGGCACCTGTCACCACCATGCTGGGGCAGGCCACCCAGCACAGGGGCTAAACAATGGATCAACACCATCCTGAGAAAGGCCCACTGCTGGACCTGCTGGACGGAGACCGGACCCGGCAGGGGTCTCGAGACGCGGGGACCAGGCATCAGGAGGAAATCCAGAGCAGCTGGCAAAGGCGGCACCTCGAGGGACAGGAGCCAGCGAAGGGACAGAGCCCGTCCCCATGGGGAAGGAAGGTCCGGCAGAGGGCTCTCGGAGGCCCCCGGGGCAGGTGGACCTGGAGGGTCCTGAAGTGGCCCAGCCAGCACCAGCAGCCCTCGGATGGCATCGAGCAGACACACCCTGGAGTCCTCGCGCGGGGGCCGGGGGGAGGCGGTGGCCAAGGACGCCGGCCCTGAAACACGTGAGCATGGCTCTAGCAGGCCCGGGGACCGCCAAGCGCAGCCAGAGCCACCCGCAGGCTGCCGAAGCAGAGGCCAGGAGCCGGCGTGACAGCCCCGGAGACGGGCCACCTGTCACAAGCCGCTCTCAGTAAGATGGAGCCAGTCTTGTCACAGAGCCCCAGAGGCGCAGCCAGCTCTGGCCCACGCGCCCAGGTGGCTCTCTCAGCCCCTCTGCGCCCTGCTTATCAGGTCTGTGGGAGTTTCTGCTGTTGTGCTCACCAGAATGGGCTGCTTCTCCACCCAAACTCCCTCCCGCCTGCCTGCCTGTCCCTCTCTTCTGACACCCTCGTGTCCTCGTCTCTTGGGTCACTGTGGACACTCGTGGGGCCCCGTCATGCCCACCCTGCCCTTCATCTCGCGCAGCAAACCCAGAGTTCAGCTGCCACGCTGCTGCCTGCAGGAGGACTGCGTTTCCCAGCTTCCCCTGAGCCACAGGCCACAGGCCACAGGCCACAGAGGCCACAGGGACCAGGCTTTAGAACGACTCGTTCATGGAGTTTCCTTGTCCCTCCGGAGCCCAGCCTTCCTCCCTGTCTCCTTCCTGCTGCGGGTGTCGGTACAGTGGCTGAGCTTCAGCTCCTCTGGGCCACGAGGACAAGGGCCACGTCCTGGGGCAGCAGAGCCGTGGCAAGAAGCAGCCCAGTCGCTGGTGACCAGTGGAGCCCCCACCCTGCACTGCCTGCCCCTGGACCTCTCTCGCCTGCAGGAGAGTGACTGTCCGTCTTCTCTAAGTCCCCCCCTCCCCCGTTTTTACTACTGGCAGGGGACCGAGTTCTGCCTGGTCGCGTTTGCTGGTGAGCAGGCATCTCCGCAGCCTCCGGGGCTGGGCACACACGGGCTTAACAATGGGGTGGACGCGCCACGCTTCATTTCTTAAAAACGTCAACGCGACTTTATGCGGAATTCACCACACCTACAACACTCCCCCTGCCAGGACTTCAGGGGCCCCTTCTCAGTCTGGGCACCCGGAGGGAGGTGTGCGGCCTCCACCCTGCCAGCGAGCGAGAAGCACCCGCAGCTCGACAGCCTCCCAAGCACCTTGAAAAGGCTCCTCGTCGCCAATTCCACAGTCACCCTCAGAATTGACGTCAAGCAGGTCACCAGAGGCGGGTCTGTGGGAGCCCAGGACCGTCTCGCTCCTGTTGAAAATGCCCAGGGCTCACCAGCGTGGACTGTCCCTCTGCACAGCACAGCGTGCTGTCCCTGAGAGCGGTGTCCAGGACGATCCCCACGGCAGAGAAAGCGCACCCAGGAAACGTGCGAGACAGGAAGCCACCGTGGGAAAGGGTGTGGGAGGGTCAGGGTCAGGAAAGTCCCACAGAAGCCACCGTGGGAAAGGGTGTGGGAGGGTCAGGGTCAGAAAGTCCCACAAACATCTTCAGTGCTAATGCCAGGTCTCTCCAGGGTGGCACTGAAGATCACTCGGTGCCACTCCTGCCCTGTCCCTGGTCCCAGATCCCAGGGACCACTACGCAGGGCATCTGCCAGGCACACAGGACCAAAATCTGAATCCATGCAGCCCCCAGGAATGCCAGTTGCTGGGGAGCCGCCCCCGATGCCCAGCACACAGGGCCTCGGTGCACCCGGGCTGCGGAGCCTCAGCCTGACCGCAGCTGGAAGCTCTGCCATGGCCAGACTGACACATAGGCCCCCTGGTGGGCAGCCATGGTGACAAAGCCCCTCGGCCACGGCTCCCACGGGAGCTTCCTGAACACCCACCGACTCCCACCTCCCAAGGGGCCACCAGGCCCCGGGGCCTCCGTGACCCTTCCGCTCTGCTTGCTTCTTGGTGCCTTTCACTCCTGTGTGTCACAGTCATGTCCACAGACACAGCCATGGGCTGTCCCATTTTCCGGGTGCATGGCAGGTGCTCCACGATGTCACCTCTCTCTTCCACAAAGGCCCCTTCAGCTGCGCAGCATAGGGCCCAGCTGGCAGCGTGGTGGAGGGCCGGGTCTCCGTGTGCAGAGTCATCACAGCTGAGGATGCAGCTTGGCCGCAGAGCCCGAGGCTCAGCCCGAGGTTGCACAGGGAGAAGAGCCCGGGCAGTGGCCACCCGCAGCCCCGCACCCTGGGAACCCTAGGGTCAGAGGGCAAAAAACGTTCAGCACAAACGGGGCACGTGGGTGCATGTCTGTCATCCCAGCGACTTGGGAGGCTGAGGCAGGAGGTTGCAAGTTCAAAGCCAGCCTCAGCAACTCAGCGAGACCCTGTCTCTAAATGAAATATAACAAGGGCTGGGGATGGGGCTCAGTGGTTAGCACCCCTGGGTTTCAGTCCCCATGCAAAAAAAAAAAAAAGGTTCAGATCGACGGAAGACCAAGCCAGAGGCTGGAGAGCCACAGAGCATGGCTGAGAGACCAGGCCATGTGGCCGCCTCTGTCCAGGCTCCCACGCAGCGTGTGGCCTGGGGAAGGAGCCACCACCAGGGCCAGCCTGGCTGCCTCCTCGTGGGATTTCTTTTCTTTCTGAATTCTAATCTGAACTGACCTGGGACCACCTTGCCGAGCCTGGAGCTGCCTGGCCTGCCACTCCCCGAGGGGGAAGCCCAGGCTGAACCAGCGCCGGCTGCTCCTTCCCACGCTCCCTTCTCCACGCTCCCTCCCAGGGAAGCCCTCCCTGACCGCCCTGGGGCCCCAGGCTGGGTGACAGCTGGCACAGGGAAGCAGGCTGACCACAGCTCCCGTGTCGGGTCATCGGGCAGTGAAGATATCCTGGGACCTGAGGCTCCGGGTCGGCCCTGGGACTCCTCCTGCCCCGTCTACGTTCCCGGGGGCTGGACGCCATCCAGCTCTGCATCCCCGTGCCAGGGCAGCGCTGGCCCCATGTGGGGCAGGGAGCCCACCCCGGTCATGCTGTCCATGTGGGTGCTTGGAGGAACCCGCTGGGTGGCAGGACAGCCTGCCTGAGGGGGCAGGAGGAGGGTGGCCTGGTATGGAGGGTCCAACCCTCACCCCGGGGAGGTGAAGGGGTTGTCTAGGGCCACGGAGCCTCGCGTGGAGAGCCAGGGTGCAGATCCAGATGGCTTGACCCCAAGGGAGCCAGGGGGGCCGCGGCCGTGCCGGCCCTGACCCCGCCGCTGTCCCCCAGGACCTGCAGATCATCAGCACGGACGAGAGCCAGGTGTTCGTGGCAGTGCAGGAGTGGTACCAGGCGGACACCTACAACCTGTACCAGTCGGACCCGCGCGGAGTGCACTACACGCTGGTGCTGGAGAACGTGCGCAGCTCGCGGCAGGCCGAGGAGAGCGTGGTCATCGACGTCCTCGAGGTGGGCACGGCTCGCGGCAGGGGCTCCCTGTCCTGTCCCCACACGCTGTCTCAGGGGTCTGCAAACATCTCTGAAGGGCCAAACGTATTAGGCCAAGAGGGTTTGTGCAGGTCTCCCGAGTCCGGGAGACACCTCAGGAGGTCCAGAGAGCAGTGGCCACTCCGTGCGAGCTTTGGTAATGGGAAGAAGGGGGTCCAGGGACAGCCCCACACAGAGTGGGTACCGCACTGGAGGGCATCTGCGGAGCCTTTCCCAACACAGATGCAGCCTCAGCTCCCTCCCAGGATGGAAACTGGCCTCCACGCGGGGCAGTCCTGCCCCAGCCTAGTGCCCGGGGCCTCTTTCCCCTGCCAGCCGTGAGCTGCCCTCCCTGGGGTCCCGTTCTCCTCTGTCTCCCTCGCCAGCCTCCTCTGCTCTGGCCTCCGGCTCCAGCATGGATGGAGGCTCTGGTGCAGACTCTTGGCTCCCGGCCAGGGCTCTCGATGGGCCACGGTGTCCCCAGCCCTGCCCACCAGGCTCCCCTCCTGGACTTTTTCTAGCCAGGGAGCAGGAAGGGTACTCAGCCCATGCACCGCTCAGGAAGCTGAGGGTCAGAGAAGGCGGACAACCCAGACACCCCAGGTCAGCAGGGACAGCAGCACCAGCCCAGGGCTGCCTGCTCCTGGCTCCTCTGGACTGTCAACCACAGTGTGGTGCCACTGTCCCAGGAAAAGTAAAGAACAGTGGGTTACGAGGGACCCCATTCATCAGAGCTACTCCCGAGCACAGCAGGGCTCAGCACACTGCAGGGAGGCCGGGAGCACCCACGGGGTGACAGGACTGGTGTCTGTGAAGAGCCAGGTGAGCCGCAGCCCGGAGCCCACAGGGGCTGTGCCCGGGGCCCTGAGCCAGGACCAGCTCCTCGTGCCCTCTCCTGCAGGGCTGAGAGCCAGCTCACCCCAGCATGCCCTCTGTGGTCCCAGGCCGTCACTGTCCATGGCTAAGCTGGCCACAGGCCCACAGCTGGGCACAGAGCTCAGCCAGGCTCAGCCCCATGACATGGAGCCTGGGTCCCGGGCCTGGAGCCACTTCTCACTGAGAAGCTGGGCCTGGCTGGAGGAGCCTGTTGCTGGTGCCGAGTCTGGAGGGCCAGTCCCCGTCTTTTAGGACAGTGGCACAGGCACCGTGGTGCAGGTTGGTCCGCAGGCCTGCAGCTGCCACCCCAGCAGGAGCACCCCGAAGCCTCATGGGCAGAGGCCAGGCAGGGTACCTCAGGTCACGGCCTCCCGCTGTGCCTTGCAGGCCCACAGTGGACCAGGCGTGGATTCGCCACGGGTCAGAGCTCGCTCGAGAGCCGAGAAGCAGCCCAGCGCTAGGCACCTGCTGGGTTTCTAACTCCACCCGCCTCTGCCTATAAGACCATGTCCCAAGGCAAAGAGCACAACCCTGCTGCCCTGCATCACCCCATGAAGCCAGCCCCCAAGTCCCACAGGGTCCAGCTCTGAAAGGCCACTCAACCCCTCCCGACTGTGGGAGAATAGTGGCCCCCAAAATGTCCACATCCTAGTCCTCTGAACCGTGACCTTCACCTCGCAGGGCCAAGAGGCTCCTGGAGGAGATTAAGGACTTTTGCTGGAGCTACAGAGGGGTGCAGCCCTGCTGACGGGACGGGGGGACGCTGTCAGACTCCTGACCTGCAGAGCTGGAGGGCCAAGCCCTGCCTGCTGTCACAGCAGAGGATGCCGATGCTCCACCCCCAACCCCGTCCCGCCAGCGCCCCGCAGGGGGTGGACAGCCCACAGACCTGCACACTGAGGACGGCAGACGCACCAGCCTCCTGGGGCTGCAGGAGTGACACGGTGGCCTGTATTTGGCTCAGCGCCTGCCACTTAGAAGCCACTAATGACTGTTATTTCCATCAGCGTAACTACAGTCCTTGGGTGCAGGAACCCAGCTCCCGGAGCCTCAGTCTCCTGAGGTGTTTTGCAAGAAATAATAGCAAGCCCTGTGCTGAGGCCGACCGCTGCCCACAGGCGGGGCGAGCAGGAGTCCTGAGCCTGTTCACAGCACAGAACATGGGCCCAAGACATCCACGCAGCAGGAGCCTGCAGAAATATCTCTGTGCGGGAGTGCGGGTGTAACTGAGGAACGGAAAACCTGCACTCGTCTTCCAGGTCAACTAGTGACCACCCTGGGTGTGGGCGAACCACAGCCCTGGGCCTCGGGGACCCTTGAGGGAGAAAGCAGTGACAGCCTGGGCCCGTCCAGAGCATTCTGGGTTAGCATGGACCCCCCGGCCCTTGCTCCTGACGTTTCCAGTGGCAACTGAGCTGCTGGAGTCCCAGGAGGGGACCCAGATGCAGAGCCCTGGTGTGGGACCTGCAGGCCCGACCGAGTGAGGTGAGGTGAGCCCTGAGCTCTGGATGAGATCCGTGGCTGGGGTCATGGGCAGGCCAGGGGACCTGCTTCACCGTCGGGTGGTCAGCTGGTCCTGGGAGCAACTTGTCCAGGCCTTGGAGCTGAGAGAACCAGCCTCCTGGAGCCCAGGCCTGGAAGCCTTGCCCCAGGCCCGGCTCACCCCTAGCAGGAGCTCCGGCTGAGCAGGCTGCGCGGGCACGGTGGCTGTGTGGGCTTTAGAGAGCGGCCACAGGCCTTCACAGTCCTTCCTGCATTTTCCCAGGTCAGAGGGGTGAAAGGGGTCTTCCTGGCCAACCAGAAGATTGACGGGAAGGTGACGACGCTCATCACCTACAACAAGGGCCGCGACTGGGACCACCTGAGGCCGCCCAGCACCGACATGAACGGGAAGCCCACCCACTGCCAGCCCGTGAGTGCTCTGCCCTCTGTGGGGACGTGGGGTGCCTGCTGCCTCCCTGGGGGCATTGGGAGTGACTGAAGGACCTGAGACATGCGAGTCCCCGCCCTGGGCATGGTGGAGAGGGGCACAGAGACCGACAGGCCCAGGGAGCTGTAGCCATGGCGTGCTGTGTCACACAACCAGGGACAGGCTCCCTGGATGGCAGGGAGGGAGTGACCATGTTCCTGTCCTGCCTCCCCGCTCTGGGGCCAGTGCAGGTGGGTTCCCAGGACAGACGGGGCAGCCAGCAGCTTCCCAGCCCACCTGTGGCACCTGCCACGTCTCCTTGGCCAACAGCCAGGTCTGGGGACATACTCTGCTCGAGGGGGTGAGAGGCATAGAGTGATACCTGCCACCAGAGGCCACAGGCCCCTGAGCCGGGACCAAGGGGTGGCCAAGCCATGGGCTCCTATGCAGGACCCACCCGCCTGGGGATGCTTCTGCATGGACACAGGTGTGCAGTGCCCCTTGCATCCTAGAGAGTCCCCAAGTTTCTGGGTGCCCAGCCCCGTGTGGCCCCTGCTGGTGAGGAGGGCAAGGCAGCGCTAGGAGCCCTGGCCTTCCCTGCCCTGGCTTGAGGTGAGCTCACGGCCGGCTGCAGCAGGGAAAGAGGCTGGCCGGGCCATGGGTCTAGCCAGGCCCTCGCTGTCCCCTGCCCGGGGGCCCACCTCTCCCAGGGCCTCTCTCCTGGCTTCTGTGGGGAGCTTGCCTGACCTTTGCCCAGCGTGGGCTGCTCAGGAGGGGCAGGGCTGGAGCTTGCTCCAGGGTTGGACCTGACAGAGCTGCAGCTCAGCCCCCTGCTGACGCCACGGTCTGCGTCCCTCTGCCTCTGAGCCTCTGTTGGAAGGGAACAGGATAGCAATCCCTGGTGGCCTTTGGTGAGGGGGACGTGAAATGGCCTGCACACCCTTCCCAGGCCCTAGCACAGAGCAAGCCGCAAGGAACCCCCTCCCACTGTCCCCAAGCCCAGGATGCCCCGTCCCTCTCCCTGCCCACAGAACTCCTACTGACGCCTAGAGACCCTGCCCGTTGTCCACTCCACTGAGGAGAACCCACTGGGCGTCTTGCCTCTCCATTTGACTCTGCCAGTTGCAAGCCCCTCACGGGCAGGACCCCCCACAGGGGATGGCCAAACCCCCTCGTTGCTCTGCCACAGTCCTCTCATGCGTAAAGCAGGAAGCCTGGCTCTGCCTGTCCAGGGCCTGCGCCTGCGCGTGGTGGGCCTGACCCGGCGTCCAGAGCACAGCAGAGGATGCCCACCTGGCTGGGATTCCGCCCAGCACACAGCAGGCGGCCTGCTCTCTGCCCAGCTCCGATGCCCCCTGCTCAGGCCCCCACCTGTGACCCCAGAGGACCCCGACACCTGCCCGGCTGTGTGGGGACTGAGTCCGTGTGTCAGCGCCCACCGAGAACAGAGCCGCTGGGAAGGGCGGAGGGCGTGCGCTCCTGGCAGAGTTGAGTCGTATTTATCTGCCAAAGCAAGCTTCTGCTGGGAACGGTTCTCGTCTGTAATACGCAGCTCAGCGAGGAAATGGCCTTTGCAGGATTATGTTCAGACCCTAAAATTATAAAAATGGAAGCGAACCAGAAAGCACGCGCCCAGGCAGGCATTCAAGCACCTGAGCAAGGGACATGGGAGCCCACAGGGCACAAAAGACACCAAAATAAAGCCCCACTGGGAGGCCGGGTTTTCCCACCTGGGCGTGGTGGACAAGGCCCCTGCTCAGCCTCAGGTGTCAGGTGGACTGTGTCCGGGGCCTATCTCCCCAGGAGCGATTCCTGCTCCTGGCAGAAGGCTTGGAAAACAGAGAGGGTGATGGGGCTGAGGCCCTGGACCAGCCCCTGGAACAGCGGCTTTGGGCTCCTCCGTGGATCCGGAGGCCGCGGATTCCCTGGCCTCCTTTGTTCTCGTCCTCTGGGGTCGGTGTCTTCTCCAGGGCCACCGGGCTGGCAGGGCTGGGGAGACGAGGTGCTGTCACTAGAGGGGCCATCAGATCTGCTTCAGCATCATGCCTCTCGGTGGGGAAATGGTTTTGAACTGTTGAAGAGACCCCGTGCTGGGCCCCCCAGGGGTCCCTTAGACAGGCCGAGGCAGGAGCTGGGTGCTGGGTGCTGGGTGGCTGGCAACACGTCCCTCACCCTCCGTCCATCTGTGTGTCTGTGATGGTTGCTGGCCTTCTGGAGAGCGCCCCCAGCTCCTGTGTGCAGAAGGGGCACCTGGGGGAGGTCGTTGAGGGCCAGGGGCTCCCTGCAGCCCACCAGCCCCCAGTGCCCGGCTCACCTCCGTCAGGACCAGCTCTTGGGCACCAGCCTGCCCTTGGTCCCCTGTCCTTACCCTGGCAGGCTCAGAGGACCAGCCCTGTCTGCCACGTGCCTGGGCAGCTCTGGTACCACTGGAGCTTATTGTCCTGTGTCCTTCATGGGGCATTGGAGCCCCGGCCTGCCCTTCACCTGCCCTTGCCTTCTGGTCGGTGCCAGGAGAGCCCCCCTGCCCCAGGAGAGACAGCTGGAGAGAGGAATATGTGGCAGTCAGTGGCCCCACAGGGCACCAAAAGGGACCTCAGCCTGTGCCTCCAGTGTCCAGTGACCACAGGGTCCACCTCCAGCCCAAGTGCGAGCAAGCAGGACGTCCTGGGCAGGGCTGGGCAGGAGCAGCTGAAGGCATGGCTCTCCCTGGGCCCGCCCCACCCAGGCCAGGGGCCAAGTGCTCAGCAGGGACCTGGGAGGGCCGACGCGCCTGAGGCCAGCCGTGAGCTCTGGCCCCTCACGCAGATGACGCAGGGCCACTAATCCAGAGCAGAGAATGGACCTGTCCCCCGGATGCCTTGCTGGTCCCACTCCACCTCCCACCACCCCCGGGGCCTCTGGACCATGTGTCCTTGTCCTTGTCCCTTCGCTGAGTGGCCAGCACAGCCCTGCTTCTTGCCCCTCCACTCCTCCAAGTGCCCCAGGCCCTGCCCTCTCCCCGGACCCCACAGGCCGAGCTTTCCCCAAGACACTACTTCCCCTGCTGACGCCCCCTTCTCCCTCTGCAGCCTGACTGTCACTTGCATCTGCACCTGCGCTGGGCAGACAACCCCTATGTGTCGGGCACCGTGCACACCAAGGACAGCGCCCCAGGCCTCATCATGGGAGCAGGTGGGTGATGCTGCCCCCGTCCCGGTGGGTGTCATTCAGCCTGAGGGAGCCTCCCTTTCAGGGGTAAAGATGGACAGCCATGGGCTGGGGCCATGATGCGTCTCCCAGGAGGCAGGGCCAAGCTCCCCGGGAGGCTCAGATCTCACGGAAAACCGAAAGGGCAAACTCAGGGCACAGGAACTCAGGGCACAGTGACTCAGGACACAGTGAACTCAGGACACAGTGGATCAGAGCACAGTGACTCAGGGCACAGTGGACTCAGGACACAGTGACTCAGGGCACAGGGACTCAGGACACAGTGACTCAGGGCAGAGTGACTCAGGACACAGTGACTCAGGGCACAGTGACTCAGGGCACAGTGGACTCAGGACACAGTGACTCAGGACACAGGGACTCAGGACACAGTGACTCAGGACACAGTGAACTCAGGACACAGTGACTCAGGGCACAGTGGACTCAGGGCACAGGGACTCAGGACACAGTAACTCAGGGCACAGTGGACTCAGGACACAGTGACTCAGGGCACAGGGACTCAGGACACAGTGACTCAGGGCACAGGGACTCAGGACACAGTGGACTCAGGGCACAGGGACTCAGGACACAGTGGACTCAGGACACAGGGACTCAGGACACAGTGACTCAGGACACAGTGAACTCAGGGCAGAGTGACTCAGGACACAGGGACTCAGGACACAGTGGACTCAGGACACAGGGACTCAGGGCACAGGGACTCAGGGCACAGGGACTCAGGACACAGGGACTCAGGACACAGGGACTCAGGACACAGTGGACTCAGGACACCGTGACTCAGGGCACAGTGACTCAGGACACAGTGACTCAGGGCACAGGGACTCAGGACACAGGGACTCAGGACACAGTGGACTCAGGACACAGTGGACTCAGGACACCGTGACTCAGGACACAGTGACTCAGGGCACAGTGACTCAGGGCACAGGGACTCAGGACACAGTGACTCAGGGCACAGTGACTCAGGGCACAGGGACTCAGGACACAGTGATTCAGGGCACAGTGACTCAGGGCACAGTGACTCAGGACACAATGGACTCAGGACACAGTGACTCAGGACACAGGGACTCAGGGCACATGGCTTGTAGTTGGCAGGGTGGATGGATGATGGATGGGCAAATGGGTGGGGGATAGACAGGTAGGTGGATGGATGATGGATGGTGGATGGGTGGATGGTACATGGATACATGGGGGATGGGGGGATGGATAGATGGATGGTATGGAATGGTGGATGGAATGGTCAGTGGGTGGGTGGATTGATGGATGGGTAGGTGGATGGATGGATGGGTGGATGGATGTGTGGATGTGTGGATGGGTAGATGGTACATGGATACGTGGAGGGATGGGTGGATGGATAGATGGATGATGCATGGTGGATGGGTGGGTGGAGAGAAGGATGAGGGATGGTGGGTGGCTAGATGGTACATGGATACGTGGGGGGATGGGGGGAGGGATAGATGGATGGTATGGAATGGTGGATGGAACGGTCATTGAGTGGGTGGATTGATGGATGGGTAGGTGGATGGATGGATGGATGGATGGATGGATGGATGGATGGATGGATAGTGGATGGAGCAGCACCATGTGCCACCTGCCTGCCACCCTGTCCTGCCCGGGCTGCCACTTCCCAGCCACACACCCTGGCCCTGGCCAGGCCTCCCCTCTGCCTGGGCTGCCTGTGCCCTTGGCCAGCTCCCAGGGCTCACTTGAAGGCCACTTTCTGCCCCAGGCCCTCCTCACTCACTCAGCCTTGGGGCCCACCACCCTGGCTGCTTGTGGCTGCTGGACACCCTCCTCCCCGCTTACAGGGAGAGCCCCCAGGAGCGGACCCTTGATCACTCCTCTCAGACGCCCAGCTCAGCACGGGGCTGGCAGAAGGAGGTGGCCAGCCATGGCTGAGGGACGGGTGCAGGAATGGGTCAGTGGGTGGAATTAGTCAAGAGGAGTGGACAGGTGGACGATGGAGGGATGGTCACTGGAGAGGGGTCTGAGGAGGTTCCCGAGAAGAGAGAAGGGGCCCTCCACCAAGCCCTGACAGTCCCTTGACTTACCCACAGAAAGGGATTCCTGGACGCTTCCAGAGCACAAAGACCTACCTAAGAAAGCCAAGGACTTCCCCGGGGCAGCACCCTAGAGCAGAGCCCGCACTCGCGGGGACAAAGAGGGTGGATGCTCAGGAGTGAGACACTTTGGGGGTCCTGGGCTCCTCTTTTTAGAGGAAACTCTAAACAGTGAGCTTGGGAAGTGTGGGGGTGGGGTCGGCCTGGAGAGCCCAACCAGCTGGCTCACAGCACGGGCCGGGGCCTGGGGTCCGGCTCTCCCAGACCTCTAGGTCAACGTCACCCAGCCAAGAGGCAACACTCAGAGTGAAGGATCTCCTAAGTCCCTACAAGGTGTTCCCCGGCTCTATTTAGTCCAAAGAAAACATGGGTATATGCTGGCAGTGCATCCCCTACGCTGAGGGTCCAGGGCATTTTAGGATGCAGGCCTGGGGGGAGTGGGCCTGGGGGAGCAGGCCTGGGGGAGCAGACCTGGGGGCACAGACCTGGGGGAGCGAGGCTGGTGCTGATGTCCCTTCCCTCTGGTCTCCTTTCCGCTCCCTCTGAGTCACCCTGCCTCAGAGGCTGGCTGGCTGTCGAGGTCCTGGGTGGAGGCTCTTTCCAAGCCAACGCACACTCAGGGTTCTGTGAGCCCGAGTGGCCATCGTAGCAGGGCCAGCCCTGTCCACCCAGGGCAGGGTTCAGGCCAGTGGACAGAGGTGGAGGCTCGCGCGCCCTCCCCCTCCCCCAGACACACCCAGCAGGGGCTGCACACCCACCTGGAGGGGCCGACCCTGCCTTCCACCCAGGGTCTCGCCTCCCACCCCTGGTCTCCTGCTCTCCTAAAGCAAACCCGGCCAGGCTGGGGGCTGCCCTGCGCCCACTACCTGCCCAGCCCCCGCGCTGCTGTCCCTGATCACCAAGCTACACCTTCTCATTCTTGAACCGCCTGAGGCCCTGGCCCAGCTCTGGGCGCACCTGGGCCATGGCTGGGCCCTGAATTTGGCCTGTCGCAGGCGGAGTCTTCTCTGCCCCAGGGGGGACCAGCCAGAGCCCAGCATCCCCAGCAGGTCCACATCAGAGGAGGACGGCAGGGGTCACGCTTCTGGTGGCTAGGTGGCAGGAGGTGCAGCCCAGGCAGCCCTTGGGCACGGCTGTGCTGGGCTCCGACCTTGGCAGTGGCAGCGGCTGACCCCACCCCAATGCTGTCCCTTTGCCTTGGGGCAGGTAACCTGGGCTCACAGCTGGTGGAGTACAAAGAGGAGATGTACATCACAGCGGACTGCGGGCGCAGCTGGCGGCAGGTAAGGAGGCATAGCGGCCCGTGCCCACCCACACCCATCCTGCAGGACTCTGCCGACCGCTGTTCCCGGGGTGGGGGCTTCGTGGATGACAGCGCTGCTCAAAGTGGCTAAGAGGTGACATAGACCTGGGCCTGCACCTCCCCCGCCCACGTGTTCAAAGCCCTGTCCCGGGGGCAGTCTCACAGCCGGGGCCCCTCCCGGGTGACACTTGGACAGCACGCCACCCGCCCGGGCAGGCAAAGTCCACCTGCCATCTCGGCCTAAGGCCTTGACATCCCTCTAACAACATGCGGGAAACAAGGGGTTTTGAAAAGGGCAAGAGAGGTCTGCTGTGTTGTGATGTTCCTATTTGACTACACCAGTGAAGCCGTCTAGTCTCTAAAGGTCACCTCTGTCCCATCCGTCCGCCCCGACCCCCTGAGACCTGGAGTCGAGGGAAACAGGAGCTAGAGGTCAGCGGTTCCCACTGGGCCTCTTCCCAGCTGTTTCAGAGGCTCCGACCCTGGGGGCAGCCTGGTGGGACCGGAGCCGCTGGGCCACCTGGAGCAGGAGTGGGGGGCACGGGCTCGCCCTCTCCAGAAGGAGAAGTCCTCATTCAGAAGGTCAATGAGTCTCCACGCCCTGCCCACGCCCAGCACCCAGGGGAGCTTCCAGGAGGGAATGGGCAGTCCCTACCCCGCAGGCCTCGGCATCTGGCCTTCCACATGGTGCGCTGACACTCGGAGCCACGGCCTCCTGGGGCAGCATGGCCCCCAGAGCTCCAGTCTCAGTCAGCCCCGCTCTCCTGGGGGACCACCACTTTAACCCCAGGGCCTTTGCACCTGCTGCCCCCACACCCCCGGGGGGCACTTCCCTGGGACATTGGCCGGCTCTCCACTTCCTGGAGCCCCCCCCACCCCGTGCAGACCGCTCAGCACGTTCACTTCATCTGTCCTGAAAACCTTGGCTGCGCCCCCTGCGGCAGGGCTGTGCCGACTGAGCACCAGTCCTTGGGGCAGAGGCAGGGGACCCCTGCACAGTCCACCTGGCGTTATGTGACAGCGTTCCTGAGGCAGCCGACTAGGGGGCCTGTTGGGCTTGGAGTTCCGGAGGCTCTGGGGCCAGGCGTGGGCATCCGCAGGTGGCAGCAGGTGGGCCAGAAGATCTCACTGCCAGACAGGACGCAGTGAGCCTGGCAGGGTCAGGGCAGGTCCCTCTCCCTCCCACGAGGCCCACCTCTTAAAGGTCCATCGCCGCCCAACACCTTCAACACGGGGACCCTGGGGACACTCACTTCCAGCCGTGGCCCGTCCTCTTGTGGCCAGCACAGGTGGGCAGGTCAGTGCTGTGCTCAGCGCCCGCCATGCCCACAGGTGTTCGAGGAGGAGCACCACATCCTCTACCTGGACCACGGCGGGGTCATCGCAGCCATCAAGGACACCTCCATCCCCCTGAAGATCCTCAAGTAACGTGGCGGCCAGCACGGGGCCTGTGGGTGTGGAGGGGGGCACAGACCACAGCCAGGACTGTCCCCATGGGCCCCAGGTCCTGGGTGTCACCTGCCTCCCAAGCCCTTCCCGGGGCACCCTGGAGCTGGACTCGGTCCTCCCTCAGGAGACCAGAGACAGGGAAGCAGCACAGCGTGTGGGGAGGGGCGGGGCCCTTCCCCGAGAGGGACCTTCACCCACGGGTCCCTGGTAGGGGGAGGGAGGCGGGGAGCCAGGGCAGCTGTGGCCAGTGCCCCAGGTGAGCCTGGTCTCAGAGGCCCAGCCGGGGCTGCCAGGAGGCCGGAACCTCCAGTCTGAAAGGCCCCTCCTGGGAGGCCGCAGGACCAGGACGCTGGACCTGTCTGGCCCAGACGCTGCTGGCCAGGCCCAGCCTTGGGCAGGCTGAACTAGACGTTCCCAGGGCTCGGCCGTGCTGCCGTCCAGGGGTGCAGGGTACCTGGGTGCTGCAGATGGGGTGCCTGGGGCGGAGCCAGCGGGCACGAGGCAGGGGCGAGGCGGAGCTGGCCTCCGTGGGACAGTGGCTGGGCCCTAGGGGGTGGACTGTCCCAGGTGTGTTCTGCCTCCCCTGGACACTGCGGCCCTCCTGCAGGTTCAGCGTGGACGAGGGCCTCACCTGGAGCACGCACAACTTCACCAGCACCTCCGTGTTCGTAGACGGCCTGCTGAGCGAGCCTGGGGACGAGACTCTGGTCATGACGTGAGCGCTGGCTGAGGGCGGGGAGGCCTGGGGACAGATGCTGGTCAGGACGTGGGCGCTGGCTGCAGGACAGGGAGGCGTGCAGGGACGGCAGAGCTGGGACCCAGCAGGCCGCACTGGGGCCCCCAGGCTGAGCCCTGAGGCGCCTCTGTCCTCACGCCTGCCTCTTGTCCTGGGGGGCAGGCACTGGGCGCCTCCGGCCCTCTCACCCACTGCCCAGGGTCGTCTGTCCATGTGAACAGCTGGCACCTCTCTCAGCCACGTGTGCCACCTTGCCTGTGAGCCGGGCCCCTCCCAGGACGTCAGGGGGGCCTCCTGTGGGCTTCATGTGCGCACAGGCCCGGGGACACTGGGGACAGGGAACGTGGCTTTGCTGGGGGCAGGTGAGCAGTGAGTGGCCAGGGGCCAGGCAGGGCTCTGCAGAGCAGGGAATCCATGTGCCCTGCGGCCCTCAAGACCATGGGGAGAGGCTGTGCTGGGTGGTCCCACAGTGGCCGGGGCTGGACGAGGGCTGCACTGCCCGGCCTGCCTCTCCCCGTGCCCTGGGGGTGCCACAGGCTCCCCCCTCGGCGTCTGCTCTGCACGTGGGGAGGAGCAGGGCGGAGAGTCCTGGGGTCCGGGCAGCAGGGCCGGGCCTCAGCCTCCTGGCACAGGGCGGGAGCCGGGGCTGGGGCCAGCCTGCTGCGGGGGGCCCAGGGGTCGCATGTGCCACGGGCCTCCTTCCTGGTGGTGAGCGGGACGCTCGACTCCCACCCAAGGGGGAGGTGGCCCGTCCACACTGCACAGCGAGCAGAGGGCACTTGGCCAGCGTCCCCGAGGACTGCTGTGGTCAGTGCTGCAGGGTGTGGGCGGTGGGCACACACCAAGGAGGTGAGGCTCTGCCCTCCTGAGCCCACGGAGCGCTCTGCTGCCCCTTCTCCCCTGCCTGCTCTGAGCTGGGCTTGGGGTGCATTATTTCTCTTTGGAATGAGAGTCAGCTATGGAAACCGGCTTCTGGGCACAGAACCCTCTACTGCTCAGGCCGAGGGAGGCAGGGACAGGACTGGGACAAGCTGGACAGGGCCAAGAGTGGCCACCTGTCTGGGGTCCTTCTACAAGACATAGTGCAAGGTCCAGCTGGGTGGGGCTGTGGATGGCCCTGGGACAGCCAGGAGGCCAGGGCTGCAGCCAGCTGGGAGCTCTTCCCCGCCATTGAGGGTGGCCTTGTGGGTGGGATGGCCCACGCCAGCGCCCTGACCGGCCAGAGCTGGGGAACGGTCTCTGGGGACCCTACTGCCAAGGCTGGCCCAGCGCCTGCAGAGGGCCCAGCCCTGCAGCCCCGCAAGAGCAGGCCGGCCTCACTGAGCCCTGGTGCAGATGGACCGAGTCGGGGTGGGGACACGTGTGCCCAGCAGAGAGGCCAGACCAAGGCGGTGCTCCCCCTCCCCCACAGGGTCTTCGGCCACATCAGCTTCCGCTCCGACTGGGAGCTGGTCAAGGTGGACTTCCGGCCCTCCTTCTCTAGGCAGTGCTCTGAGGAGGACTACAGCTCCTGGGACCTCACCAACCTCCAGGTGCGGCCAGGACTGCTGGCCCCGCCCCTCCGCCTGCCCCAGCACTGGCCAGCCGGGACCTCTCCTCCTCCAGGGCGTCCACAGAGGACCCAACACACCAGCCTCTGGTGTTCTGAGCGCATCCCTCGTGCCTGGGCTGCTCCGGCCACCGAGCAGGGTTCTGGGCTTTCCGGCCCTCGAGAGGGAGCGCCCAGGCGGGTCTGGGCACACGGGCTAACAGTCCCCACCTGCGGGGGCAGCAGTGCTGAGCAGGCCGCTCTGGAGGACGCTGGGGTTGTGGGCAGGGATGTCAAAGGAAGATGACTGACCCGGGGACAGGGGGACAGGATACTTCCTTGAGGACCCTTACAGAGGTGCCACTGCCCTGCGGCCCACGGTGGGCGAGAAGGCTCAACATGGACAGGTGTGGGCAAGTAGGATTTGTGGCCAGGCGTCCTTGCTGAGGGCCAGACACCACCTGACAGGTGACAGGATGTCCACTAGACACAGGGTGGTCCAGTGTGGGGCGAGGTTCTGGCTAAGCCTGCGCCAGGCTCTCTGCCAAGCCGGACCTTGCAGAGGGGCCTAGGGGAAGGTTCTGGAGCCTGCCCACGCCTGGCCCAGCAGACCGCGTGACGGCTTGGGCCTGCTGCAGGGACGGGGTGAGTGCTCTGGGCATCCCTGAGGTCCTCCTCGGGGAGTGGCCTCCCCGCTCTGTGGCCCGGGGGTTAAAGGGGAACTTAGGGGCCACCTGTCCAGCAGCTCTGGACCTTAGGCCCGGCCAGGGCTAAGAGATAGCAGATGCACAATGAATGCTCACAAGTGGGGCTAGAGGGAGACCACCCTGTCCTCTGCTGGACCTCAGTGTCCCCTTCTGTGAATGGGGTGTCCCCTCCAGCTGCTGCCTGGGACAGAGCCAGCTGCAGGGCCCCCGGCACCTGCACCCCTGGGAGGGAGCCGCTGCCTCATGCCAGCTCCTCGCCCCTGCACCAGGGCGACGGCTGCATTATGGGCCAGCAGAGAAGTTTCCGGAAGAGGAAGCCCACGTCCTGGTGTGTGAAGGGGCGGAGCTTCACGGCGGCCCTCAAGTCCCGCGTGTGCCCGTGCCGGGACTCGGACTTCCTCTGGTGAGTGCCGTCCTCAGCTGGAGGCTGGGCCTGGGCAGCGGGGTGGGCGGTGGGGCGGTCCTGGGGGGCCGGGTCCTGGGGGCAGGGGCAGCCACAGGGGTTGGTTTTTGTTTGGGGGGTTTTAAACGTTTTCTAGTTGTCGATGGACTTTGTTTTATTCATCCATGTGGGGCGCTGAGGATCAACCCAGGGCCTGGCACGTGCCAGGCGGGCGCTCACCCCAGGCCAGCGCAGCCCCACAGGCAGGTTGGAGCAGAGCAGGGGGAGGCCGGTGGCTTTCAGCAGTGCCTACAGGGGGCAAGGAGGCTGGTGGGCGCAGACCCCCACGATGGCCTGTCCCCAGGCCCTCCCTGTGGCGGGGGCCTCTGGGGTGGGCACCTCCATGTGGGCTTGCTCTTCACACTCCTTCCCGGGGCCCTGGACTTGGGGACTCAGCTCTGATACACAGGATAGGGCCGAGGTGGCCGGGTGAGACTGGAGAGCTGGCCACAGCAGGCGCTGGCCTCTGCCCTGCTCTGGGGGGGCTGGGACAGAAAGGGCTGGGTCTGGGGCATCTTTGGATCCGCCTCCAGGAAGCCCTCTGGGACCTGGGGCTTGTCGCTCTGGACTGCACCTGCCCTCGGTCAGGCCTCTCCCTGCTCTGGGACAGGCTGTGTGGGTCGCCCCTGCGTCCCCACGGACAGGAGCACTGCAGGCCCTGGACATGCGGGCCCATGCCCTGCCCAGCCCTGGCAGGCTGCTGTCCCCACCGGTGCCTCTTGCCTGACCGCTGTTCCGGCTCCTCACAGTGACTACGGGTTTGAGCGCTCACCCTCCCCGGAGTCGGCCAACAAGTGCTCTGCCAACTTCTGGTTCAATCCCTTGTCACCTCCTGAGGACTGCGCCCTGGGCCAGACCTACACCAGCAGCCTCGGGTGAGCGTGCGCGGGGCTCCCCGCCACCCCAGGGAGAGCAGGCTCCCGGACCCGCCCACTGCCGCCACCCCGAGAGGGGGCCGAAGGAGAAGCCAAGTGGGGGTGCTGTGCTTCGCATGGCACTGTCACCAGGCTCTAGGTCCCTTGAAGCCCCAGGGGCCAGCCCAAGGGAAAGCTGCCTTGAGCCAGGCCTGAGCAGAGAACCACAGAGGAAAGGCCCAAGGGCCCCGAGAAGCAGTGCTCCTGCTGTCTTCCAGAGCTCCTGCAGCCCAGGACCCCCACCCCACCCCCATACACAAGTCAGGGCCCCAGGTCTGGTGGCACTGCCACCCTGGGTCTCAGCTTCAACAGCACCTCCTCCAGGAAGCCTTCCCTGATCTCACCCCAGAGCCACGCCCCCCTCTGTCAGAGCCAAAACCTTAGGTATGGTCACATTCACATAATTGTCCTCCCCATCAGACTCCCCCCAGGCTCATGTGGGTGTCCTGCAGCCTTCAGTGACAAGGACAACCTGAGGGAGGGGCTCAGCAAGGGTGGCAGTCATGGCCTCTCCCCCACCAGGGGCTGAGCACATTGCTTCCAAACACCAACTTCACGTGGAAATGTTGGGTACACAGAGCTGTGTGTGACCTTCAGCCTCAGGAAGTCCCAGACACGCTTCCTCTGAAGGTCCCATCTCCCAGAGGACGGAGCCCACAACCTGATGAAGAAATTCCACTTTTTTCCCTGGGAAACCTGAGAAAAGGGGAGGCAGGGCCAGAAAATGCAGGCTTTGGCCTCAGCAGGACACACCCTAACCTCTTTCCATCACCCATCCATCCACCCATCAAACCACTTACCTGTCATCCCACCCACCCACCCATCAAACCATCCACCCACCCATCCACCCATCCACCCATCCATCCACCCACCCACCCATCAAACCATCCACCCATCCATCCACCCACCCACCCATCCACCTACCTATCCAATTCACCCCTCCACCTATCCACCTATTCACCTATTCATCTACCTATCCACCCATTCACCCAATTTTCCATCCGCCCATTCATCCATCCACCCCCCTGTACATCTACCCACTTATCCACCCACCCATCCATCCACCTACCCATCCATTCATCCACCTACCTATCCAACCACCCACCCATCCACCCACCCATCCACCCATTCACCCATCCATCCATTCATCCACCCACCTATCCATCTACCCATCCATCCACCCATCCATTTACCCATCCATCCACCCACCCACCTCCATCCATCTACCCATCCATCCATCCATCCACCCATCCACCCACCCATCCATCCACCCATTCACCCACTCATCTACCCACCCACCCATCCATCCACCCTCCCACCCACCTACACATCTATCCACCCATCCACACTCCCACCCACTTACACATCTATCCACCCATCCACCCTCCCACCCACCTACACATCTACCTGCTCCCCCCAGGTGTGGCTAGAACACCCCCCCAGGGATGAGCTCCCAGGTGCCCCGGGCAGTGCTGTCCACCGGGCTCCACATCCACGTGAGGGAGGTAGGCAGCCTCCTCCTCCCACCAGACAGTCTGCCCCACCAGGACAGGGCTGCCTGGGAGCACCCATCCCAGGACCTGGCACCTAAGAAACAGGTGTCCCTTGGCTCTCGAGGCCACAGGGAGACAGGGCCCATGAGGAGGGCACTCTTGCCTGGACCACCCAGGGAGTGACAGCAAGTCCACGGCTAGAGGTCCCCCTGGGCACCCTCCTCATGTTCCCCTCAAAACCAGCCAATCCAGACTGGCCCTCGCCCCCCAGGAGCTAGCGGTGGCCATGGGTGTTGCTCTCAGGCCCAGGCGAGGCGGTCCTCTGAAGCAGACCCTCGTCCCTCCGAGCCCCAACGTTCTCGCGTTACAGGCAGAGTAGGGCGCACAGGGTGGGGCGCGGAGCCTCTAAGGTCAAGGCCGAGGGCCACCTCTGGGTGACACATCTCTGCCCCATCCACTGCCCGTCCGGTGCCACCTGACCCTCCCTTGTCCACCCAGGTACCGTAAGGTGGTGTCCAACGTGTGCGAGGGTGGCGTGGACCTGCAGCAGAGCCCCGTGCAGCACCAGTGCCCCCTCACCCCACCCCGGGGCCTGCGGGTGAGCATCCGCGGCGAGGCGGTGGCCGTGCGGCCCGGAGAGGACGTGCTGTTCATGGTGCGGCAGGAGCAGGTGAGCGGCTGGCCCGTGCTGTCACCTGTGGGGTGGCTCTGGGGGGCTGTGTGTCAGCTTGGAGCATCATTGTGGAGCCCAGCCTGCTGCAGCCTGCAGGAGGGACCGTGGGTGGGACCTCCGCCCCGGGCCTGGGCCAGCACCTGGGAGAGAAACAGACACAGGGGGTGGAAGGAGCGGCAGGAGGGAGCCCCCCGCCCCCCGTTGTCATGTGGCAGGGGGACTTCTTCACTCTCTGATGATATGGATCTAGTTAATTTGGAATCCTAACAAAAGCAGGAAGTTAAAGAAGATCCCTATTATAATCACACAATCAAAAATGAGTTCTGTGCATGTGCATGTGCAAGGCTAGACACAAACCTAGCTCACACACACGTGTATCTGCACACAGACACGTAGGTATGTCGACGAGTGCGTCCCCGTCTCCCAACCTGTTTTTACTTTAGAACAAGCGTTACATTTCCTTGTGATTTTAAAAATAATGTGTTCATTGTAAAATATTTTGAGAATACAAATATCATCAAAATTCTGCTCCCCAAAGGAACGATTAATTCTTGCATTTCCTTCTAGTCTTAAAATTAATAGGTAACATGCTTACGTTTCTGATTATAGAAATAACTAATGTTCATTGTAGGAAATTTAAAGATGAAAACAGAAAACTTACAAATATTCAAGAAATTCAACGTGCAGAGAAGTGCAGAGGACAGTTGGAATGGCCTTCCCTGCCGGGAGAGGGTCCCCGGACTCTGGCTCCCAGGGGACTTTTAGACAAACAGGGCTGATCGAGGGTGGCCTCCTGATCCCATCTGCTTTATTTAAATGTCCTTCAAGGTGGCACAGAGGTGGCTCGGGTTGTGACAACGAGCTCTGTGGGCTTGGAAAGCAGGCCCCCTGCTCTGGTGCCAATTCAGAAACGAGGGCTGAGGAGGACGCGGGCTGGTCCAGGCCAAGGCCCAGCCGTGGCAGTCACTCAGCCACTGTCCATTGCTTGATAGTGGGGAGACTGAGGCTTGGACAGGCGAAGTTGCTCTTTTAAAGCCACATGGTCACAATGGCAGAGCTGGCCAGGGCGTCAGGCCTCAGGCACTCTGAGTAGACAGAGACCAGGTCTGCTCCAGATCTGGGCCATCCCCTGGCTCTGCCTCCTGCCCGTGCCAGGTCCTCTTGTGGACTGAGACTGGCTCCCAGGTCACCCTGGGGCGTGAAGGCCACCCTGGGGCAGGTCTAGGGGTCTCTGGTCATAGCAGCGTCTTGAGTCGGCGGGGGGCTTCTCTCCCTGCCAACCTGGGGCCACCTAGACCCTCAGTGGACCCAGGACAGCCTTCCTGGAAACGTGGCATCTGCTGCCCCCTGGAGCCTGGCAGCTGGGCCCCAGGTGCGGATTCTCCTACCCAGAGTGCAGATGGGCTGCCCCTCTCAGGCCCACGCCTGCTTTCCAGCCTGCCCAGGGCCGGGCTCCCAGGCTGTGCACTGGCTGCCTGCTGGGCCTGCTCCACAGCCCACGCGGGGTTGGGAGGCGCTCCTGGAAGATGGGCCCCGGGGACCCCTGGCCTGGAAGAGCCTGCTGACCTCCTTGGGGGCCAGGGAGGGACGGCATACACACGCGTGCCGCCCACACGCACCAGCTCGCTGATGGACACGTTCCCACATCCCCTCCCTGCACACTCACACACTCGCAGGTGTTTGTGCAGTCGCACACCCACACACACGTGGGCCACGCTGGGCTTGGAGACAGACCTGGATTAGGGGAGTCCGTGTTGAGGCCTCTAGGACCAACAGTAAGATCTGGGGCAGAGCCCAGACTGGACCCACGGGAAGACGCCACGGATCCCCATGGGGCAGAAGGGTCCAGTGTGGGAGGGACGGCCTTTCCCTCCAGGGACAAGGCCACCACCAACCTCACCGCTGACACGAAGACACATTCAGAAGGGAGCCCGGGCTGAGATGGAACAAGAAAATGGAAACTTCTAGAAAAATCCTCAGAGAAAGCCTTTGAGATGCCGCCCGAGTCCTTAGGCTGGACAGGAAGGGCACAGCCGAGAGGGAAGTGGACAGACTGGCCCGTCCTCAAGACACTGGCTCTGGGACAGGCCCTCGGGGAGATGAAAGCCTGCAGCCCAGCGAGAGGAAGCCACCTCGGACTCCACCGAGAGACACCAGCCAGCTGGGCACGGCCAGCGACACGGGAGGCGTCTGCCCCAGCAGCACGTGCACAGGAGAAATGGGCACAGGAAGTGTCGCCTGCTGCACGGAGAAACCAGGTAGAGCCGGCTGCCCGGGATGCCCACTCCCTCCCGGAGAAGCAAGCAGCGGACGGCTTCCCTCCTTGCTCCCCCTGGAGGAGCACCCTGCGGCAGCCGTGGACTCCCCATCACAGCACGGGCGTCGGGTCGGCAGACGACTGCTGGGGGGCCCCAGCAGCCCAGGCTCTCCTCCTGCTGCTTCTGAGGGGCCCAGGGCTCCGTGGGCCGTGCACGGCCACGAAACGCCAGGGTCTGCGCCATCCACAGGGCTCCTCCTCTGCACCCGCATGTCCCTTGCCTCCCCGTAAGGACGCGGGTTCAGGGCCCGCCCCACCCCAGGACAACCTCATCTTAACTGCTTACCTCTGCCAAGACCCCGCTTCCAAGTGAGGTCCCATTCGGAGGCTCCAGTGGACATGAACTCTGGGGGACACTGTCCAACCTGGTCCACCGTCTTTGTGGAGAAGTTGGTGAACATAACGGATGTGGAGTGTCCTGCAAACTCGACACCTGCCGGGGGGCATGAAGGCGCTGAGTGGTTGGCAATAGCCCCCTGTCACTGGGTCGCGGCTTCCTGGACGCACTGGAGGGAGGGGCCTGGCAGGGAGGGGGCAGGGAGGGCAGGAGGGGGCCAGCGAGGGGGAGTGTGGACTTGAATGGAGAAGGGCGGTGGAGAGACGGGGCTCTGGGCAGAAGCAGCCCAAGGGCGTGTCCCTACATCCTCGCGCCACCCGAGGCTCCCAGCAGGCCATTCAGCTATGAAGCCATCAATGGATCGATCCACAGACGTGGTCAGAGTTTACCCTGGACATTGCTGCACTGGGACCAGGCCTCTGCTTTGTGAGCCTCTGGGGACACTGCAGGCCCAAGTTGTGACCCTTGCTGTTTCTCCAGCACGTGGGGGGGGGTGTCAGGAGGAGGCTGCTCATGGTGGGGAGTGCTCAGGTGATCAGTGTCTCTGTGAGGAGGCCACAGGGGGCCGCTCCTCCCCACAGCCCCGCTGCACACCTAGGGTGACAAAAGAGAAACTCGGGAACCAGAGCGAGATGTCCTGGTCACATTACAGAAGCCCTACTCAGTATGGGGGAACTCGTCTCACCCCCAGCTCCATGACCAGGCCCAGGCCTTAGGGGTCCCCCGGGGCCCTCCCCTGACACCACCTATGTCCTCCTCCTCCACCTGCAGCTGGGCAACTGTTCTGAAATGCACCCCTGACCATGGCCCCTACTAAGTCTTCCTGACTGTCCCTTCAGCTCACTCAGGCTGGGATGCCGAGGGCAGGACCAGACCTGTCCTTAGTGGGTGAGTGACCCTGAGCTGGCCCCTCAGCTTCTAGGGCCACTTCTGAGTGGCCTCTTGGTGCTTCCTGCAGGGAGATGTCCTGACCACCAAGTATCAGGTGGACCTTGGGGATGGCTTCAAGGCCATGTACGTGAACCTCACACTAACTGGAGAGCCCATCCGGCACCGATACGAGAGTCCTGGCGTCTACCGCGTGTCTGTCAGGGCAGAGAACATGGCGGGGCATGATGAGGCGGTGCTGTTTGTCCAGGTCAACTGTAAGTCCAGCACCTCTTTGAAGCTGAGAGCCTTTCCTTGTGACAGGGACATTCTGGTCCTTGGAGAAGCACAAGAGGTCCCTTGGGGATGGTGATAAGGGTGGTGATGGTGATACGCAATGGGGATTATGGGGGTGGTGATGGTGATGGTGGTGATGATGCTGGTGATGGTGGTGGTGATTATGGTGGTAGTGGTAATAATAGTGATGATGATAGTGACAATGGTGATGATGGTGGTGGTGGTGATGATGGTGGTGATGGTGGTGGTGGTGGTGATGATGGTGGCGATGATGATATTGATGGTGATGATGGCCATGACAGTGAGGATGGTGATGGAGATGGTGGTGATTATGGTGGTAATGGTAATAATGATGTTAGTGATGGTGGTGATGATAGTGGTGATGGTGATGGTGATGGTGATGGTGGTGATGGTGATGGTGGTGATGATGATGATGGTGATAGTGATGAGGTGATAATGATGGTGGTGATGACAGGGATGGTGGTGGTGGTAGTAATAATGGTGATGGTGATGATGATATTGATGGTAGTGGTGATGATGGTGATGGTGGTGATGGTGATGATGATGGTGATGGGAGGTGATGATGATGGTGTTGATGGTGATGGTGGTGATGATGATAGTGGTGATGGTGATGGTGGTGATGATGATGGTGATGATGGTGATGGTGGTGATGGTGGTGATGATGGTGATGGTGGTGATGATGATGGTGATGATGGTGATGGTGGTGATGATGATGGTGATGGGAGGTGATGATGATGGTGATGATGGTGATGGTGGTGATGATGATAGTGGTGATGGTGATGGTGGTGATGATGATGGTGATTTGATGGTGATAATAATGGTGATGGTTATGAGAATGATGAGGAAGCTGATGTGGTGGTGAGGTAGCAATAAAACTGATGGTGACAATGACCAAAACATCTTCTGAAATGCCTTGTGTCCTGCAGTCCTCTAACCCTGACCTTTCTGGGGCCCTGAAGCCCCCCTGCAGGCACTCTACTTGGAGGTGGTTCCTGTCGTTGGCATCAACCAGGAGGTGAACCTCACCGCTGTGCTGCTGCCCCTGAACCCCAATCTCACTGTCTTCTACTGGTGGATTGGCCACAGCCTGCAGGTGAGCTGCCCTGGCCCCTCTTGTCCCCGTACCTGCAGGCTCCCTTCTGGGGTGCTGAGCAGGGCAGGACGCTGCCCAGGTATCCAGCAGCAGGGGACAGTGTGCAACTCACTCCCCAGTCCTAGTGCCCTTCCTGGGCCAACGTGAGGGACCATCTGACCTGGCTTTGCTCAACACCATCCCTGGGCAACTGCTCAGGGCCCGTCTACTCCATGCACATGGGGTGGTCAGACCAGCCCCTGGCTCTTCTTAGGAAAGACGAAGTGGCTGACCCAAGTCAGGGTGTGCCTAGCGTCACAGGAAGGGACAGGTGAGGCATGTGAGGGCTCCAGAAGGGGCCACCACTTCAGGGGTGAGTGGTCAGGTAACGCTTGGTGGAGAAGGAGCTCAGCTGGGGTGACACAGGTCTCAGAGACCTCACTGGAGGCCCCGCTGCACACCGTGAGCAGTGGGGAGCCATGGAGAGTTCTTGAGCAGAAACAGACCAATTCACAGAAGGGCAGCTTGTCCATCCTCAGGCTGAGTCCTCAAGAGCTGGGGGGCACCTGTCCCTCATCAGCAAGCACCAGCTGAGGGTCCATTCGCAGAGGGCTGGCGGGACGGAGGGGCTGTGGGCTCGGGGCCCAGGAAGAAGCAGGAGCTCTGGGTTCGAGTGCCGACTTGTCCACTTCTGGCTGAGTGCCCTGTGCCCCCTGTGCCCCTTGCACCCCAGAGCCCCTGTGTCTAAGCCTTCCTGTCTTCAGGTGCCACTGCCGCCCACCCTCATGCCGCCCTGCCACAGGGGTCCTGAGCTGGGCGCTGGGTCTGAGATGACGCGCAGCAGCTGGGCGTGGGGTGGGCAGGGGCCCTGGACGCTGTGCAGGCCGGCGGTGCCCCACAGGCCTCCTGAAAGGCCCACAGAGGAGGGACGGGAAGGGCTGCTGGACCTGCATCCCCACCAGTAGCCCCAGAGCAAGCCCCTGCTCAGCATGTGACCTGTGGTGCCTCCCAGCATCCCAGGCTCTGCCACCGCAGAGCACCTCCATGGGTGCACCTGCTGATGAGGCCACAGTACCCTGTCACCGGCAGCCACACAGGACCAGCCTTCCCACTCCTGCCAGCCGGGACCTGATGCGCTCTTGTGCCCCGCAGCCCCTGCTCTCCCTGGATAACTCTGTGACCACGCGGTTTGCAGACGCGGGTGACGTGCGGGTGACGGTGCAGGCTGCCTGCGGGAACTCTGTGCTGCAGGACTCGAGGGTGGTGCGCGTGCTTGGTGAGTCCCCAGGGGCCGGTGTGGTCCTGCATCCTGCCTCTCGGGGAGCAGGTCACCAGGGTGCACAAGCCACAAGCTCCACACCCCTCAGGGTCCCCACCCTTAAAAGCCGACTTGGGGCCCTCACCCCACGTGAGCCAGGACGTGGCTGAGTGACTTGACGCAGTCACCTGCAGCAAGACCAGGTTTGGGCACCAGCTCTGCCTTCCTCCAGGGGCCTGTCCCCTGAGCACCCAACCAGTCCTCTGAGGATCGTCCATGATTGTGCCTTAAAGTAAGAGGACTCCCTTCCAGGGACCTAGTGGAGATTCCTGTCCTGAACCCTCGTCCTCACTTATCCGTGCTCACCAGACTCAGCCCCTTGTGGGAAACCCTTCCAGTGGAAAAATTAGACCTAAGAAGGGAGGAGCCCCACCAGCATGTTATCGCCCCCATCAACATGCTGACAAACCTCACCCACTTTAAAAACAGCCTCCACTGTGGACAGCAGCCATTAGTTAAATGTTTAGTGCTCCCAATGTATGGAGGCCAGGCCACCCACGAGGGCCCCCATTCCCTGGAGGATGATGCCCACGGTCTTCTTCCTTCACGGCTGAGCAGGAGCTTTGAGTGGCATCACTACCCTCAGTGTGGCATGCTGGTTTACATCTCAGAAAGCACTTGTCCCCAGAGCCGTCACCCTGCAGAGCTTCCCCTCACTGCCTAGGAGAGAAAACAGAGGCTCAGAAATAAACGGAGTGATTACAGTTTATCTCTGGTGACTCTAGAATAAAGGTCTGGGCCATGGACCCTGGGAACTGCAGGAGCAGGAAATGCCTGGGCCTGGGCCCCCCAGGAACTCTTAATCTGGTGGGGAGACCAGGCCAGTTGGAAACCCTAGACTCCTGAGAAGAGGCCGACCTCGTGGGGTGAGCACAGCCCCGTGAGTTGAGGGGTGCCTCAGAGGGGCTCCCTGCGCCACGCCCCCTCCTGACTCAGCGCCGCCGTCTTCCTCTTGGTCACTGTCATCCTCGAGACCTCTGTTATCACGTGGACCTCAGTGAGATGGGCCCTGCCTGGACGCCCTGCCACAGCCGGCTCACAGGGGCTCAATTACAGAGCCAGGCCCTGTCCTGCTCCAGATCATGGGGACAGCGGCTGGGGTCTGAGCCAGGGCTGCCCTGGCTGCCCTCCCCAGAGGAGTCAGAGCCACTGTCCAGGACTGACCCGTGCTCCTGTCTCTGCCTCCTTCCAGACCAATTCCAGGTGGTGCCTCTGCAGTTCTCCAAGGACCTGGACGCCTACAACCCCAGCACGCCCGAGTGGAGGGAGGACGTGGGCCTGGTGGTCACCCGGCTGCTCTCCAAGGTGCCCGCTTGGGCCCAGAGCCTCCCACCCCAGGGCCTCTGCCTCCAAAGAAGCCGCAGCCGCGGCCCAGGGCAGGAAGGGCTGTGGGGCTGCGGCAGAGGCTGGCTGGGGTGGGGAGCAGGACAAGAGGGTCACCTCAAAGGGCAGGGACGGGACGCCATCACCTGTGGAGTGTCGGCTGTGAGCTTACGTCCAGTCACTGTCCTCCAGAGGGTCAGAGTCTCTTTAAAACCGAGATGGGTGCTGGGGACAGGGCAGAGCAGATGTGGCCCTGCTCAGGGAAAGCAGAGGAGGTGGCCCACCAGGGCAGCAGAAGGTGGCCCCAGGGAGACAAGCCCAGCCTAGAGCCACCCTGGCTGTCACAGGCCGACCCCTGCTGTCCTCGCTTGTCCTGTGAACAAGGCTGGCACAGCGGTCCTGGGTGGTGGGGTGGGGGCAGGAGCTCAGCAGCCGGCAGGGCCTGCAGTGGCCCCGAGGCAGGACCCAAGGAGCAGGCCGAGGGTGGAGGGTGGTGCTGTGCCGCTGTGTGTGGGCAGGGAGAGCGGGCGGAGGAGGCGCAGGGTCAGGCCGCGGCCAGAGCGCCAGGTCAGCACCAGGAGAAGGACTGGCCAGCACCTGCAGCTCACTAGCGGGGGCTGCCCTCAGCTGTGGTATGAGGAGTGGGCTGCAGGGAGCAGGCCTGGGGGGGGCTGGGGGGCAGGAGGCGGCACAGGGCAGCCTGGGGCTCGAGGGCCAGCCACATTCCTGCAGGGACAGGAATGGCTTACCTGACAAGCGACCAGGACTCAGTCCAGGAAGGGACAGCGGGTGTGCTTGGGGGTCTGACTTGTGTCAGGGATGAGGAAAAGAAGAGGGTTAAAGTGGCCTGTCTGTCCCTGCAGGAAACCAGTATTCCCGAGGAGCTGCTGGTGACCGTGGTGAGGCCGGGGCTGCCCACCCTGGCTGACCTGTACGTGCTCCTGCCACCTCCCAGGCCCACGAGGAAGAGGAGCCTCGCCAGTGACAAGGTTTGTCCTGCAGCCACTGGCCACGCTGGTCCTCCCTGCACAGCCAAGGGCTTGGTGGCCACGTGCCTGGTTGGGGTCGTTCCTGGTGGACCAGGACATCAGTTAAAGGCTAAGTTCTCACAATGTCGTGGTCTGCCTTGTGGCTCTCCTCCAGAGGTCACATGGCCTCCTAGGTCACTGAGCCAGGGCAGCAGGGCTGGAGGAGGGCTGCCCGCCCTGCAGGGTGACCTCACTTGACCTCCCATGTCACTGGCTGGAGGTGGCCGCGTGGCCTGTCTGCAGGGGGCGCTGGGGCACGTGGGAGAGCCCTGAGCTGCGACCCACCTGGGATCAGCACAGCAGCACCCAGCCTTCAGAGCGGCCAGCGTCTCCGCCCCAGAGCGACGGCCAGACGGCCCACGTGGAGGGACTGACCCACCGGGCCGGGCTGGGAGGGGGACTGGGGGATGAACCCGAGCCTCTGCGTCTGTTAGGGCGGCTGAATAGAAACAGACCACAGCAGGAGTCAGCAGGGAGGAAGAGCCTCGCACGTGGTGTCTGTGAGTGGGCAGCCCCGTGGAGAGCAGTGGGCAGCCCCTCGTGGGCAGTGGGGTCGGGACACCGAGGCCTGCAGGCAGCACTGTGTTAGTGGCACAACGGCAAGAGGACAATTCCCAGCCTGAGCCCGAGCTCGCAGGGCTTCACTTCTGGAGTGCGTCAGGGCCGGGGCCGTGGTGCAATCCCGCTGGAGGGACGTCCGCGCTCCTTAGATGGGCACGACTGGCCCGCGGCCGGGGGACTCTCACTGCACTCAGCCTGCAGGGGTTGCTCTGTTCCCGCCACTGGGCTTCCTGCTCCTGCTCCTGCAGTTAGCTGTTGCAGGGACCTGCAGTCCGGTGTGCCGGCCCCGTGTGCCAGCCTGCAAAGGCACAGCCTGTCAGGTCACACAGCAAAGCTCGCCCTTCCACCGCCAGATCTAACAGTGGCTGCGGGAGCCCATGCCCACTCCTGGTGTGAGCTCAGAGAGGCTCAGACGTGGCCACAGGAAACCTGCGCAGCGCCAGGACTTTCAATAGCCAAGAAACATAAACCCCCAAACGTCCACAGCTGGCGAATGGATGGAGAGACCGAGGACGGTCCTCGTAAGGAGTGTCACTGTCCAACCGTTAGGAGAAGCGGGCAGCTGGTCTGTGCCACGGCGGGGCTGCCTGGGAGCAGCCTGGTGCGTGGCATCAGCCAATGCTCAGGACACACAGCATCCAGTCTATGCAACACCAGGATACGCGGGTCCACAGACACGAGGAGCGGACCAGGGGCTGCGGGGTGGCCAGGGGTGGGAACGAGGGCTCCGGTCAGGGCTTCCCGTGGAGGTCATGAGAAGGTCCGGAGCTAGTGGTGACGGTGCACAACCTTGGGGACACTGTAAGAACCCCACACTTATCAAGAACACCGGCTGGCTCCATGGACTGTACCCAGACGAGCTCACTGGGTGACCTGGACAGCGTGGCCAGCACCGAGGCAGCGGCAGCAGACCCCAGCACCCTGCAGATGCAGCTTCCCACCAGGCAGAGCAGAGAAGAGGGGCTGGGAGAGACCACAGGGGGCGCAGGGCCACGGGGGCACAGGGCCATGGGGGACACAAGGCCATGGGGGACGCAGGGCCACAGGGGGCACAGGGCCACAGGGGACGCAGGGCCACAGGGGGTGCAGGGCCACAGGGGCACAGGGGGTGCAGGGCCACAGGGCCACAGGGGGCGCAGGGACACAGGGGACGCAGGGCCACAGGGGGCACAGGGCCATGGGGGACACAGGGCCACGGGGGACACAGGGCCACGGGGGACCCAGGGCCATGGGGGACACAGGGCCATAGGGGGTGCAGGGCCACAGGGGGCGCAGGGACACGGGGGGCACAGGGCCACGGGGGACACAGGGCCACGGGGGACACAGGGCCACGGGGGACACAGGGGGCGCAGGCCTTCCTGCACAGTTGGTGAAGATGAGGAAAGACCAGGAAAGCTGTCCACTGGGAAGCATCAGAGTCCTAGGTAAAACGCCTCAGGATGGATTTAACCAAGGAGGTGAAAGACCCGTCCCCTGAGCGTGAGAGACTCCGAAGGTGACAGGCAAGCGGCCTGGTCCGCGGCCAGGGGTGGTTAAAGGTCCCTGCTGCTCATCCTACTAGAATTCCTGGGGCACTTTTCACAGAAACGAAAAGCGACACTTGAATCTCCTGGAACCACAGAAGACCCCAAATAGCCATCGAGAAAAACCACCAAGCTGGACACACCCTGAGCACTGGCTCCAAAGCACACAGAGCTACAGAGCTGAGATGGCACCAAGATGGTGTCGAAGCAGAGGGCAGGGGCAGGAGAGGCCCAGAGGAGGCCACGCGCACTCGGCCAACAAAGATGCTGCTGTGGTTTGGATGTGAGCTGTTCCCCCAGCGCTCCTGTTAATGCAGGTGTGCTCAGGTGACAGGATTGTGAGAGATGTGACCTGGTCAGCCTGTCCCAGTTTATAGGGACTGACGGGGTGTCACTGTGTGCAGGGGGTGTGTGGCCGGGGAGGCCACTGGGATGTGCCTGGGAAGGTGCCTCTTCCCTGAGGCCCCTCCCCTTTCTCCCTCTCCCCCTCCCCTCCCTCTCCCTTTCCCTCTCTCTCCCTCTCTCTCCCTCTCTCTCTCCCTCTCTCTCTC